TACCAACAAACAATAAACAACTAAACTTAAGCACACAAAATGCAGTAGCAAACTGGATAAAGGAAGCAACAAACAAAGGTTACAACATAATAATACTAGGCGATTTCAACTACGATTACACAAAACAGTGCAACAAGAGCCCACAGATATTCCAGACAATGAGACAGAACGGTCTAGAAAATACTATACAACACTTCAACATAACAGAGCCAACCTGAAAAAGACAAGATAGATATAGCCAAATAGACGATATATAGTTACCAACATCAATACTATACCAATGTTCAAAGATACAACTCATACCATCTGATGAAATTACGAATAGTGACCACCAAATATTTAAAATAACTTGGCAAACCAACCCAACATTCAAGATACAAAGAAGAAATAAACGAAAACATTGAATATATAAATATAATGAAATGACCAATGACTCATAGGAAAACTTTGCACAAGATGTATCAACTAAACTCAACAATATGAAGATTACAACAATGATTACAAATATACAGGAGCTGAATAAGACATGGAATCAACTATGCATAACAGTAACAATAGTGGCAAAAAAGAATATACCAAGAACAAAAGTCGGACCAAAGACCTACTATGCTTTCTTAGCAAAAGCTACAAAACTACACAGTGCACTAACGGAAATTAACAAAACACTCAGAAATCTAAAAAACAATAAAGAGGACACGACAAATATAGAAGACATAAACAAAAGTATATAGAAAATCAACAAACTAGCGGCAACACAAATCCTAATAATTAATAAGAAAATAACAAAGCAACAATACAACCAAATGTATGAGCAAATCAAATTTTATCAAAAAAACAATATATGCAGCAAGGCAAATTGAAAACAATGCAAATCATAAAGAGCAGATCAATCAATATATCAATAACAGGTATAACAACTTTCAAGCAAACACAACAAAAATGATAGACAGCATTCTAAACCAACATACAGACCCAGTACACTTTGAAAATATAAAAGAAGATGATAAGCTATATACAAAACCAAAAGAAATAAAGCAGAAAATACAGCAACACTTCAAAATGTGGACCAAACACAACTATCCTAATACACTAATGTGGAAGACGTGGCAAGAAGAATACCAGCCCTTACAGCATATACAACCTAGTTGGTATAATAAACTGACCCAAACTATAACACTAAAAGAACTTGAGCTAACAATTAATGAAGCTCCTACAAATAAAGCTCCCAGACCTTAACAACTAAGCAACGAAATGTTAAAACACTTAAACAATGATACACTGCTAATACTATTAAAGATATTCAACGCAAGTCTCACACTACAAACTATACCAAAAATGTGAAAACAGAGCACAGTCTA